CTGCCTCTGGTACAGCAGAGAGGACCCCCCCCCAGTACCCAAACACCCCCTCTTCCTTCTCCCCCCACCTCAATTTCAGCCCCTCTGGAGCATTTTGCTGCTCCGAAACCTTTTTGGCACCCATTCTCCTCCCTTTGGTGAGGGAAACCCGCAGTGTTTTTAGCTGGGCTCCACCAAAAGCAATATTTTGCTGTATTTTCAGCTGAGAAACACCCACCTGCCACCCAAACCAGCCCCCCGGCACGGGGTTGGCATCACAGGACGTGCCGCATCATCCCTGCCTTCCCAAACACGAGGGTTAAGCCTCGAAAAGACTCACTGAGAGGTGAGGGAACAAGGAGCCATGCAGCGAGGAGAGCCAGTGGCACACGGCCAGCGTGTAGCTCGAGCCCATCTTCACCCACTGCAGCCCTGCGGAGGGAGAAGGACCATCGGCGCTTCTGCGTGCTTCGACGAGAAGCCCGACGGGCTGAGGAAGCGCAGGGACGGGCACGATGGAAAAGGGGATGAAGGGACCCGAAAGATGAAAGCGAGATCCGGAGGGACCCCAGACTCACCCTCCTCCTCGGCGCTGGCGATCTCCTTCAGCACTCCGCACAGCCCCACGTCCCGCCTGCGGCGGAAAGCTCGGTTCGGCCTTCCTCGTGTTGGCGACACGAAGCCCAGGCCACCTCTGTCTTCACCCCCCCAACCCCTCAAAATCCCCCTCACCTGCTGAGAACCCCCCGGGGGCCTCCAAACCAGCTCTCCCCTCACCCGGGGGCGTTCACCCCAGTCACCAGCGGCTGCTGCAGCAGCCCCCAACTGCATCGAGCTCTCAGCTGTATTACAACCCCCCATACTCTCCCAGAAGCTCAGACTGGGGTGCTGCCCAGCACCGTGAGGGCCTGGGAGCCGGCTGCGCCCTCCCACCGCTCACGGGCGAGCGCCGAAAGGGCAGACAGGCCTCCGCCACGTTCAAGGGCGAAGAAGCTGCAGGAGAGGGACGGGGAAGGGAGGTCTGAGCGCGGATATGAAGCGGCAGCTCCTGGCGTTGCCTCCCGAAAGGTCTGGTTGATTTGGGGGGGGGGTGTGTCACGCACTCACCAGGCACTGAGGCATCTCTTCCAGAGGGACTCGCGGTGGTGGATGAAGGCCGGCCGGGTGCTGTGCTCCAGCCGGCTGTGAGCCTTGAGGGTCTCCTTGGGCAGGCTGAGGACGGGCAGGTCTGCCAGCTGCGAGCAGAGACGGGTGAACAGAGCGGGCTGGGGGCAGCTGGGGAAGGGCCCCTCGCTGCAGAAAGCGA